ATTAGAATTACCGAATTTTACGGCCACGTATGAAACTAATATGTGCGAGAGGACCTTCGCCCCCACACCCTGCGTCTGCAGTAGTCGCAGCGGGTCTGACTCAACCGGAAGTCGAGCGGGCACCCCTCTTCCTTCGTCTTCTCCCTGGCCACATCGCACGGGTACCTGAAGCCGCATTACGCATAATGGGCGTACGTCTTCCTAATACGCTTGCGCGTGTGCGAGCTCATCGGCTCTGTTCTCTGGTGAACCGATCAGACGGGAGCTTTGCAAGCGGGCATGTCGGCTCTTTGGCACGGGCCATGGACGACCAGCCAGCCGTGAATCGCACAGACCTACGACCCCGACTACCATCGTACGACCATTTCAATGTCGGGCGGTTTGCATGATAATCTTTCCGTGCGACCGAATCTAATCGATCTGTGTAGACGGAAAATTAACTTCTTTTTCATATTAAGCTCTACCAAATTTAATACTGTATTTCGTAAATTTAGGATTTATTATTTTAGTGTTTGTAATTTAGTATACTTTAGTTCTGCGTTAGGTAGTGTTAAAGTTTTTTCTTTTTCTTATGATGGTTTAAAGTTTGTGCGAGACTATGGAGATACTGGTAGCTGATAGGAGACTTTTGCTATTATTTTGCAGTGGCTGCTGAAGTAATGTAATACTATGCTGAGTTAACTTTAGTACTACGTTTAATTAATAGTACTCAATAATTAGTAGTACAAATGCATTAATTGATACTGATGGTACATCTTGTTTGTGCTACCTTGTAGTAACTGTAGTAACTACTAACAGTAGTTTAGTACTACGTTCAGTTAGTACAGTTTAGAAATACATTTAGCTTGTAAGCTGTTATACTACCTTCAGCTTGTACTATGTTCAACTAGTAGCACTACAGTGTTTGTTTTATTTTACTACAATTTACTACTACATCCAGTTAGTACACTTTACTACTATGTTCACCCAGTAGCACTAAAGTGTATGTTTTATTTTACTACAATTTACTACTACATGCAGTTAATACACTTTACTACTATGTTCAACCAGTAGCACTAAAGTGTATGTTTTATTTTACTACAATTTACTACTACATCCAGTTACTACACTTTACTACTATGTTCAATCAGTAGCACTAAAGTGTTCGTTTTATTTTACTACAATTTACTGCTACATCCAGTTAGTACACTTCACTACTATGTTCAATCAGTAGCACTAAAGTGTTTGTTTTATTTTACTACAATTTACTGCTACATCCAGTTAGTACACTTTACTACTATGTTCACCCAGTAGCACTAAAGTGTATGTTTTATTTTACTACAATTTACTACTACATCCAGTTAGTACACTTTACTACTATGTTCACCCAGTAGCACTAAAGTGTATGTTTTATTTTACTACAATTTACTATTACATCCAGTTAGTACACTTTACTACTATGTTCACTAACTAGTAGCACTAAAGTGTATGTTTTATTTTACTACAATTTACTATTACATCCAGTTAGTACACTTTACTACTATGTTCACCCAGTAGCACTAAAGTGTATGTTTTATTTTACTACAATTTACTGCTACATTCAGTTAGTACACTCCAATATTACGTTTAGTGTTAAGCTACTTTAGTAGCTACAGCAAAGTACCAGAAACGAGGTCTACTATCAGATACCTCGCACGAATTCGTACCAAAAAGAAAAGAATTTCCTATCGATTTTATCGACAAAACCTTCCAGCCAGTAATAACGAAGGATTATGTACGCGTACATATCGATAAGTAGCATACACGGTGACCCGCATTTTTTGCATATCCTTGGCTACCCTTCGATTTCAACGTTCGCTTGACCTCTTTAGTGAGATTCAAGCCTTTTTCAGATTATCCCGGGTTGTCCTTGGCATTGTTCGATCGATGCATTAATCCGTGCAAGATATAACCAGTTACCATAAAACATGTCGTGACATGGCACTTTTTATTTTGTACAGGCACCATGTAGTCTCGTAACTCCAATAAAAGTTGCATTATTCATTGCCCATCATATTTTATAACATTAGGGGAGACGTGAAAAATGTTTGGAATTGGCGAAAGAAGTTCTGTTAGGAAAATTGCATGTTGATAATATACAAATATGGTCTTGAAGGGTATAGTCGTGTACATCATTCAATTCTTGACATACATCTAATGTCAACTCTTGTATATTTCATATGACGATAAGAACATCGTGATTATTTAAGCTCAAGGTCATTTTCCGAACAATAATGCAAATACAAAAGAACTGATAACTCATGTCGACTATCAGTAAAATATGACACCTTCTTCAAGGACCCCAAGTCACATTACCTCAAACACTCTGTATCTTAGAATTAACAGAAGAGCCCTCGAAAGAATCTCCGAAAATGAAGTGCATAAGATTATCGCAGTATTTAGAAGATCATCGCAGTATTTTGCGAATGAGAGCAGAAGAATAACCGAGGAATAACTCGAAACATAAATTAGTGCCGCGCCATAGTAAAGTATCGCGCAAAGTTCCGGGTGACCGAGTTGTTTGGCCGTCGCACAGTTCGCACTTAAATACGCTCACGCCCGTGATCTTTCGCAAGATCGAAAGAGGGTAGGCATCCTACCGGCACAGCCGGCGTTATCACGAGCTCTCTGTTTCGCCATTGTGTCCCAACCATATGCGAACAATATTCGCGAACGAGATCCGAGCGAAATGTCCGTGTACATGTGTCGTACACACGTGCCCGTGTACCGTACGTGTACGTTGAAAGGTGCACGTGTGTCTCTACGGAGCAACGTGTGATGGACTTTACTCCGGTAAGCCTGCCCGTTAAAACACTTTTTTCCCCGGTTCTGCCCCGGGTGCAACCCTATTGTTACCGGGTCGAGTCACGAGCCTGCACGCTGCTTCTCATTACCATCCGTATCTACGAGGCTTTATCGCTCCGTCAGCCCAACCTAGTTCCTATTTCCCATCGTATCCCACCTATATCTATATACGTGGCACGGATCGTGTCGCTGCTCGACGAGTTTTCCTTAGATTCTCGACCGCCGATCTAACAGCGTGGGAGAACGAGAGCTGTCCGACTTCTTTCAAATTTCATACTTTACCTCCTTGCGAAATTGCCCATTTGGCACTTTAGATCTAACAATTTGAAGACCTATGAAGTTTGTGGGGACTTAATAATTTAGGGCATTTAAGGAATTGGAAGAGACTTGTAGACCTAAGAATTTGAAGATGTATGAAGTTTATGGAGGCTTGATAATTTAGTTCATTTAAGGAATCAGATGAGACCTGTTGATCTAACAATTTGAGGATCTATGAACTTTATGGAGACTTGATAATTGAATTCATTTAAGGAATTGGAAGAGACATGTAGACCTAAGAATTTTAAGATGTATGAAGTTTATGGAGGCTTGATAGTTTAGTTCATTTAAGGAATCAGATGAGACTTGTTGACTTAAGAATTTGAACATCTATGAATTTTATGGAGACTTGATAATTGAATTCATTTAAGGAATCAGATGAGACTTGTAGACCTAAGAGTTTGAACATCTATGAATTTTATGGAGACTTGATAATTGAATTCATTTAAGGAATCAGATGAGACTTGTAGACCTAAGAGTTGGAACATCTATGAACTTTATGGAGACTTGATAATTGAGTTCACTTAAGGAATCAGATGAGACTTGTAGACCTAAGAGTTGGAACATCTATGAACTTTATGGAGACTTGATAATTGAGTTCATTTAAGGAATCAGATGAGACTTGTAGACCTAAGAGTTTGAACATCTATGAACTTTACGGAGACTTGATAATTGAGTTCATTTAAGGAATCAGATGAGACTTGTAGACCTAAGAGTTTGAACATCTACGAACAATTTAATTTTGAGAATAAATTAAGAGTGAATATAGTCTGGCTCTCACGCTGGATGTTTCGAAAAATGTCCTTGATCCTGTTTGCAGTAGCCGCGTGAAAAGCAGTGAACGAAACTGAAATGATTTCAAGTAGTCACGCACGAGTTGACCTATCGTGAGAGTATCCTGTCCAGATCATTTCTCGCTTGACCAGGCATACTTAGAGTTTCGTATATGCGATTTTTCGTAGTCCTTGCTTTGTATTCCACACACATCGATCTACCGAGGTGGCGATCGAAACGAGTCGAACGGTGATTCTTTTTATAAGTACGTAGCGGTCTCGTAGATAAATCAGAAGCTCTAGAATTGTTTCTCACGTTCTTTGACGACCGTATCATCTCAGAGACCTCCGTGGACTATTGATGAATCTTGATAGCGGTTTAACGCGTGCCTTCACGCACTCACTTCGCTATACTGGATTTTCTATTTAATATAATTCGCATAGTTACATTACTTGATTCTTATGCTACTTTCATTTTTGTGTGGAAAATTATGTAATTCTGGGTTATCTGGTATGGTAGGATGCTCATTAAAATTTTGACGTTGACGTACTTTCAAAAATGGTATTCTTTTGACGATTATGTAAAGATTATATAAGGCATATTGCATAGAATTGAAGTTTTAAAATTTTTCAATCTATCGCAAAGTACTCTTTCAACCTCCCCAGTATAAATTCCTCAATTCCTCATAAATCAACATTTCAACCCCATTCACCCTTGAACCACAGTACAGCTTTCATTATACACTCGAAGATCGAGAAAAAAGTGACTGCAATTAAGTTTCTCTCGACCCTAAATGCACGTAGCACGAACTTGCAGCAGGAATATTTAGCAACAAAGGGAAAGTCACCCTACGATTGCTCGCGAAGAATTCGACTATGGTGAAGAGCGTAAGGAGGGTTGACTGCATTGTTTCGAACAATGACGCCACTTGGTGGATGCTCTTGACTGTTTTCGAGTTACCGTTTACGCGATGTACCGGGTCGTCGCGAGCATTAATACCTCGTTCAAGACGCGTTCCACGAGACGGTTGACGAATTAAACTTGTACGTGTCGCGATAAAAGATCGACGTCCCTTTTCGTTACAGACACTGACATCGTGACGGGGGACAACTTCTTCGATGCTTTGGACAATGGCGTAGTGGTCTGCCGACTCGCGAGGGTCATCCAGGAGAAGGCTAGGTCTGCCATCGACGCTGGAAGAGCGAAAGGGGTACTTATTGATAATTAAATAGATTATAAATTAAATAGATTATATATAGCTTATGTTTAGATTGAGAGTTATTGATTGATTTAAAGATTGCAGTATTTAGATACATAACATTGGAGAAATGATTTTTATGAATGGTTAGGTTTGTCACACAAAATGGAGCTTAAAGTAACAAAGATGGCTGCTCAAATGATCTATGAATATTTCCAATTTTTTTTTAATAAACGATTAATCAACCACCTTACAGTATAATGTTATTTATTAGCCAATAGACACAAAGCTATTATAACATTCAATTTTTATAAAGAAATAATTAATTTGTTTTGCTACGTACAATCTACATTTTTAGGTTATGTAACGTCTTTATTCTGTATACGAATAAAAATGTAGAAAATTATGCACGTTTTGTAAAGATTTTCTGTGTCAATAATAAAGGAATAATGTGAAGTAGTAATAGTTGAGATAAATGGCTGAATAGAAATTGTTTTATTTTTCGCAGCCAGTGCCAGTGATAAGAGGAAGATGCTGGGAGAACGCGGCGAGGCGCAGTTTCTTTTCGCGGGACAACATGGAGAACTTCATTCAGTTCTGCAGGCGTCTGGGTGTCCACGAGAACCTTCTATTCGAGAGCGACGATCTCGGTAAATCTCGTTAATTGATTTTAATTCCAGCGACACGAGTCGCGTTTATTACCCTCGTCGCGGCAGTGCGATTCGCGCCGATTAAAAGCGAGAATCCCGCCAATTACGTAGCGCAATCCCGTTCACCGAGCCTAGAGCATGCAAATGCAAAGCGGCCACCAGGCGAGAGTAATCGTCGTGAATTAACCGCGACCCCGACAGAAACGGTGAAAACGAGCTGCTCTCGTGCTTGTTCTCGCGCCTCAACGGCTTCGAATGCTATAGAAAACAATAAACCAGCTTGTACTCGCGTCACTGACGTAACTCCTTGCGAAACTCATCGTCGGCCTACTTCAGAAGGGTGTAAGCTCGGTTAAACGCTGTTATTCGTCTCTTAACCGAGTGAAACGTTTCGAGATTCTGGTATTTGATTATTTTTGTGTGTTTTTGGATATTTGGGAATATGGGTCTTAGAGGTTCGGAGAATTGAGGAGTTGAGGAGGTGGGATTTGGTCCAATCGAAAATTTGATAATTTTGGAGTTTAATGCTTTGGAGGCTCAGGGAGAATTTAAAGAAATGAGGAACAGAGGGGTTGAAAATTTGTTACTTTGGGAAATTGGAAAGTTGGGAATTGTGTATTGGGAAGTTTAGAAATCTGGGACTTGTGAACTTGTGGCACCAGATTTTTGGATCTCTGTACTCCACATAGATCATGTTACCACTAACAAATATCCATCTACAATATTTATTCCTTCTGAATCATAATCTCATACTATCTCTACTAGAGTGAAATAGACTTCCACTAAACATCCCATTAATAATCCCATAACTAACCCACATTTATACCACTTTTACTCATTCACTGCCTACTCCACACCTAACAAATCAAAATCTTTGATTCTGAAAGTATAAAACGTATAATTCCCCCAGTGCTGCATGGTCAACCACGGAACGTAGTGTTGTGCTTACTGGAGGTAGCTCGATTGGCTTCGAAATACTCGGTGGAACCACCCGGTTTGGTACAACTCGAGAGGGAAATCGCTGCGGAACAGGAGCGGGATCTTCACTGTTTGTCCGATAGCGGTATATCCCATAGCAGTTTGGTTTCATGGCAATCCCGCCAATTACGTAGCGCAATCCCGTTCACCGAGCCTAGAGCATGCAAATGCAAAGCGGCCACCAGGCGAGAGTAATCGTCGTGAATTAACCGCGACCCCGACAGAAACGGTGAAAACGAGCTGCTCTCGTGCTTGTTCTCGCGCCTCAACGGCTTCGAATGCTATAGAAAACAATAAACCAGCTTGTACTCGCGTCACTGACGTAACTCCTTGCGAAACTCATCGTCGGCCTACTTCAGAAGGGTGTAAGCTCGGTTAAACGCTGTTATTCGTCTCTTAACCGAGTGAAACGTTTCGAGATTCTGGTATTTGATTATTTTTGTGTGTTTTTGGATATTTGGGAATATGGGTCTTAGAGGTTCGGAGAATTGAGGAGTTGAGGAGGTGGGATTTGGTCCAATCGAAAATTTGATAATTTTGGAGTTTAATGCTTTGGAGGCTCAGGGAGAATTTAAAGAAATGAGGAACAGAGGGGTTGAAAATTTGTTACTTTGGGAAATTGGAAAGTTGGGAATTGTGTATTGGGAAGTTTAGAAATCTGGGACTTGTGAACTTGTGGCACCAGATTTTTGGATCTCTGTACTCCACATAGATCATGTTACCACTAACAAATATCCATCTACAATATTTATTCCTTCTGAATCATAATCTCATACTATCTCTACTAGAGTGAAATAGACTTCCACTAAACATCCCATTAATAATCCCATAACTAACCCACATTTATACCACTTTTACTCATTCACTGCCTACTCCACACCTAACAAATCAAAATCTTTGATTCTGAAAGTATAAAACGTATAATTCCCCCAGTGCTGCATGGTCAACCACGGAACGTAGTGTTGTGCTTACTGGAGGTAGCTCGATTGGCTTCGAAATACTCGGTGGAACCACCCGGTTTGGTACAACTCGAGAGGGAAATCGCTGCGGAACAGGAGCGGGATCTTCACTGTTTGTCCGATAGCGGTATATCCCATAGCAGTTTGGTTTCATGGCAGTTTCAATCACCGTCCCCGACCGCGACACCCAGGCCTCAACCGGAGAAGATCAAACACAGCAGGTACGTGAGTCAAGATCCTCATTTTCTTTGGCTTTCGAAACGAAGTCCGAGAAAACGTCCGCGGTGTACATTTGTCGGAAAACGATTCGCTTAACAGGCGAATCTGCGAGGCGTTACGTTCCGAGAAAAACGGCGAACACCTTATACTCGAGCGTAACGCAATGCCGTAGGAGTGGCGGTGTTTCGTAGCGTGTAAAGCTTACGGTATTTACGCTAAAGTCGCGGAGGATACGCAACTCTGGTTATGATAAAGCTAACAGAACGATTTAACGATCTCGTGCAATATTCTTGCTTAATCCTTTTACAAACGTGGTGCTTCATAATTGAACACTGCTGCTTTATAAATTAATAGGTAGCTACTGATGGCTTTGATTCTATATTTTTTTAGTTTATAGCTGATGGAGAGTATACTATTTTATCGACGATGTTGAACAGTATTTTTAAATTATATAGGATAATTTGTTTGTACTTTTCAATTTACAAATTCTTATTCTAAAGAGTTCTCAAATTTCTGAATATTCATTCTTCAAATATCTGAAGATCAGAAGGTAACTTATGATTAATTTTGTTAGGGTCCTAATTGCTATGATCATTGCTATAGATAATTTGTATATCGTCAAAGTTTGGAGTCTATCGACTTAAATTATGAGTCTACTTTCTGAACAAAAAGTAACGAAAGAGATGTGTTCACAGCTCAGCATCGGAAGTCGCATCGACGGCGACGAGATGGTTGGATCCGACTACCGGCGTAACGCACGAACCGGAAATGCGGCGATCAGTGAGCGATAATGGACCAACGGGTAGCGATGGGGTACCCAGTGATACAACGGAAGACGACTGGTCCCGTGGAAGCGCCGAGGATCCTGATGAAGTCCCATCACCGTCCAGTTCACCTTTACCCTCGCCGGTTGAACCTCCAGAGCATACAGGTCCCATAACGGAACTCGATCGCAAGGTATGTTGATCGGAGTATGTATTTTTATGCCTGTTACGGCACCACGTATATACGCGAATTACGTTTCACATGCCATCGTAGACATCACGTTGTCTAATGAATTATTCACGGTACTCTTTCGGGTTACAAGCATTTTATCGAGTAGGAACGGTTCGTTTTATGGATAAATATTTAGCGATCAAGTTTATTGATAGGCGTGTAAGGTTAATTCAGAAAATGAACTTGTTCGAGGTACTTGAACTGTATACGTGAGAAAGTGATTTTTGGGAAGAATTTTATGTATGTCGTCATACTTGTAATTTAATAATGGAACTATTTAATGTTATTGGGTATAATGGAATAGTTAGTGTATTAGTAATTTTTTTTATTGATGTAATTATATATACATTATTGTTATTGTGAATTATAGATGATGTTTATAATTTACCTCCCTCTTGTATTTGAGTCATTCAGTCAAAGTTGAAAATTAACATTGCATTTATACAAGTATGCAGTCATGTTGGAAAAATTTTGAGACCAATGATGCATTAAAAATCTTGCAATTTTGCAATTGAGTTGAAAGATAAATTACCGTGTCAATACAATAAAGTTCGCTTTCTGACACCGCGGAAGAAATCAGTTTCACTCACGTCGAAGCTATGCAAGTAAAGCCGAAGGAGAACGCTCATTTTACTCTAAATACGTAGAGAAAGAAGGCTTCTCATCGGGTCACGTTCGTTATGAATGGCCAAGAGCAAGAGAGAAAGAAGAAAGGAACAATGGAACTAAACAGCTCGCTTGAAGCTTTCTCACGTATGCGTTTGCACGCTCGCGGAGTCTCGGATCCTCGCACGGTTGAATTCCTGCATATCAAGGAGCGGATGTTACACGAGTCCTCGTATCTTCGACTTTCCTCTCCGCGACACGTCAGGTCGATTTATCTCGCGTGATAGCCGATCGTTCTTCGTCCGTCGGAAGCGGACGTAAAAATACGTCGTTACCATTTCGTTGCGTGACTTTTACGCTGTACGTTGTTCTCAGGTGAGGAGAGCCACGGAGGCTATACAGAGACTCTGTCAATGTCCATCGGAGAAATGTTCCAAGCTGAAGGTACGCAAGGTTGGAGAAGGACGATATCACATCGCCGGAAGGAACGTCTTTATCAGAGTATGTATCCATATTACAGCGGGTATAATAGCTAACTCGATGAGACTGAATTTAGTCAACATTATTACGCTTGCAATTTCCTTTTGTAATACAAGTTGCGCATATTTACAATAGCAATGGATGATGAATTCATGACTCATCTGCTAATGTAGGGTGTTCATTACAATTGTTTCAAAGCTCTAAAGCCTCGGAGCTACTTGGCCCAGTTGCGTGGGACATTATGCACAGTCGGGTGCAACGTTGAATAGAGACACATATGACAATTTTGAAATTTTCCATTTTCTTAATGATGATCCGTTCGAAAAGATTGAGTAGGGATCTTAACAAGCAATCGTACTAATGACTATGGTACTCGACGTGTTCGCAGCTTTTGAAAGGGAGACACATGATGGTCAGAGTGGGTGGTGGCTGGGACACCTTGGAACATTTCTTGGCGAGGCACGACCCCTGTCAGGTGAGGACCCTCAACCGCGACAGCACACCGCCTTCTCCTCACGGCAACAAGCACGCCAACTTTCTTCCAATTCGCGCCAAGTATCGCAGTCCTCCACCGGAATCCGTCTCGGCCCGCTAGCCTAAAAGCACAGTGCCTGTTACAAGTCCACGCTATTTCACGTTCATGCTGTTCTGCGTGTTAGTCCGTTTTCGGCGAGTCCGCGACAGATTGTCAGGGTGTTTACACGGTGAACAATTGTTCGTTTACGAGGTTGACACGAAACAAGGCAACACCACGCTGATAGATGAGCTGCGAGATGCCTGGTATTCTTTTCTTATTTAACGCTTTGACGGTTGGTATTCGCGATTCTCAACCTTACCAGATTTGACAATTAATAATTTAACGTTCGTTAACGACCTCCTATTAAGCATAAAAAGAAACGTTGTAGATTTCACAGATGTGCAATCGTCAAAGTGTTAGCGCGGAGATCAAGGTGTTTTTGTAGAAACGGTTTCCTTCTTTCCAACCGCTCTAGATGGTGCGTTGACGATATCGAGGGATATTCCGACATTTCTTTCTGGTCTCGAAGAGAACAGTATCGTTGTTCGACTATCAGCGAAACCGTCCCGGAGATACGTGATTTGTATTATGCCTGTGCTATTTCATGATCTACTTCTATTCGCGTAATCATGTACACACCGAACCAAGTGCACCTATCTTCATGCATAAGATGTTACAGGGGATGGCACTATTTTTTCTTACAATGTCATGTAATGCGGTTGGGGAGCACTAATGTTTAACGTATGTCCTAACAAGCGTGTTAATATGCCAATTTCTATGGAGGAGTTGCGTCGATATTTTACCTCTTATGATTCGCCCTCCTGTGAGTTAGCTAAACGTATGTAGAGTTACATATGTGTATGTGCACAATAGTCGAGTTACGTAAATGCGTTTATAAGATGTACTATTTGTACTTCGTATGTGTAAAAGCATCTCTTATGTGTATAATTATTCGGTACCTTGGTCCTTCAAATGTTTAACTCTCTCGTTGCGATTTGTTACTGTCAGTGCTAATTTTATCGACAGTTTCAACATTTTTTATTTATCTTTCAAGAGCTCAGATCTTCAATTTCTCAAATTTCTATGACTAAAAATTTGTTAACTTGAAAATTTGGAGATAGCGTTATAATTTGGGAATTCGCAAATTTCTATATTCGTAAAGTTCCGAATTCCTAAATTCTCTTGTCCTCATCAAAATATACGCAGCGAGAGGGTTAAAGTGACACGCATTCCACGGACGACAGGCATATTGACGCTTGATTTGGAAATTGTCTAACAGAAACAGAGGGAGGGTAACGCACCTGGTAGAGGTAGATGTAAGACAGACCGCAATGACCAAAGTTCGTTTGCTGGAACGATGGCAATAATGGTTTATCGGAATGTCGTTTACATTTAGGGATAACGATCCACGGTTTATCTGCATCGATCGCAGATAATCTGCGGTTAAAGCCATTTTCAGCTTGAAGAAGTCGACTCACGCACGTAATTAAAAGAAAGTGCAATTAAGGGGCTCAGGTAAAGTTACTTCAATCGAGTTTGTCGCCTTAGATCTACGGTAAATTATACTTTTCGATTAAACAACTCCGTCTTGAAAACATTTGCCAGTTAATGAAAGATTAAGATACTGGATTGTACGATACAATCTATTTTGCAGGGAACTAGAAGGGAAGAAATAAAATCTTTGATATTATGTACTTGGTCATTGCTGAAGCCTTTAACGGCGAATCTCTTAGTGCACTTAATCTTTCGCGATAAGCAATGTAAGGCACATAGACTATAAAAAACACAGGGTCGGTTACATTTGACAATTTTTAATTTCGGAGAATCATTTATTTATTGTAGAATAGTATTCGACGATTGAAACATGTGTTCTGAATGTATTTTGTATTCGAAGTGTTTTGTAAAGACACGTTATTTTTACACGAAATTTATTTACAAGTCTCGCCATATAGCTCAAGATTAAATTAAAAATCAGAAAATTTTTGTTTCAAATCTCCTTGCTCGTTATAATGAAGTCAGTATACATGAAAGTTTACGAAGCAGAACTTAGTCATCGGGTTGTATAAACGAGAGCTATGCGAGACTGTACAGCGTTTTGAACGATCATATCCACCGACCCTGAAGTAATTAATTACATTACACTTTGGCACATAATCGATACGTATTCAATCGGCTATTACGCAAAATGCTTCACGATAACTGCCATAATATATATGTTTTGTACTTTTATAATAAATACGTAGGATAAGGAATTCAATAAGAAGGTGTAACAAAATTACAAGACGATCTGTTTATTGGGTTCACAGAAATGCAAGGGCACACTGTGCAAAGGAATACCAAAGCAAAAAATTGCGCGACGAGTAATGTCGGCACGTTGAGGCTATTAACGTTGTCGTACAAGGTTTATTTTGTTAGACTCTTTCCCCATAAATTCACTGTATTATAGCGTTGTCTTTCGTAAATTATTATTGTTCGACGCGTAGTACATAATTCGTTTCCTTTTTTTTCTAAGATATTCGTATTGGCGCAGAGATTCTATTTATTTGTAAATGATATCAGGACGAACTGCATTATTAATCATTAGCGATCGTGACAAATTTCTTTCGAAAATACATTTAGCGTCGTCATTGCTACGCGCGAATGAAACAATTTCGCCATATTATACTATTGTAAACGTGTTATTCGATTAAGTCTGCCTAGTTGGATTAAGTTGTACATACCTGCTTGTATTTCGACGCAGAGTATTCGTTTTTCTTTTTTATCAAATGAAATTTTCCATTCGATTTCGTAGAGTATTTATAAGTTGCTGTCGTGTAATGTTATATATATAGGGTCCTTGTATTATTCTGAAAAAAATGTATTTCCGTATGCTGCAGATTTTGTTGAAAAGCGAATTGATGAATTCATGAAATGTATAGATTAAGTTACAGTGCACGATAGCCATTTTCGTTATCCCATAATGATCCGTTTATTCTCTCATTTGTAATGTGATACGATTGTCACATTTCCTATATTTAATTTTTTAATGTTAGCAATCAAAACCTGCTTCTGTATAATTAGGAACGTTTTTTGTATTTCGTGAAACGTATATACACAGCTAATCGAAGTTAGTTTTACTTGATTTAAGTATGATACTATTGTGTTAATTGTTATATTTTGTTGAACAATAAAATATTTAATTATGAATCTCTCCGGTATGTACAATAATTATATTCGTTAGGTTGAATAAGTGGACAAATTTATAGATAACAAATATATTTTCACTTTTTTTTTTAGGTGCATATGTTAATACAAAAAGTAAATTAAATTTGGTAAATATCACTTTTGTCGCAATGATCAGTCTGACATAAATAAAACCTATAATTACAGATATTATACGAGAATACTATGAATCCTGCAGCGTTTGGACACTTTGGATGATTTCACTTTAGTTGAAGTGTTTCGAACGATTAAAATAATACTCGTATCTATGTATATCATTAGACATTGTGGCGTAGTATTTATTTGTTACGGTTGTAGCGTCAATAATGAATACTTATTTCTTCTTGCTTTTTCCTAGTGTTAAAGTATGATGTTGTGGTTGCTGGGCGAACTGAGTTTTCCTTCTATTAAATTCTAAAATATCGTCCTCGAGTTTCTTTCTGTTTTCTTCCAACTTTTTCTTTTCTTCTGTGTGATCTTTCTTTAGTTTATCAAATTTGTTATGCAACTGAAAAATATACAAACAGTTGAAATTATGACAACAACGAATAATGCAATATAAAATATAAAAAACCGGTAGTATTTACTTCCTTCTCTGCTTCCTTTAAACCAGCCTCTGCTTCCTTTACCCGTACTACAAACATTTGTCTCATTTCATCTTCTTTTTGCTGAAGTTCTTGTAAGTGAATGGATCTCTTTGCTTCACAGGTTTGTTGGAAGCTAACAGGTTTGTTTTCGCTATCGACATCGCTAAATCCCATCTGAAAAAAGATATCAAACACTAGAGTATTAAGAAAATATTATTTAACGAGAATCATTACCTGTTCCAATCTTTTCCTACGGTAAAGTTCATAGTGTCGGCAATGCGTTTTTTCTCTCATATCCTCCATGTTGGTTCTTATCAACATTTCGCGTAATTTAACGAAATCGCAGTGGGATTCATTTTCCACTATAAGAGAAAGTAGTTAATATACAATCATATTCATATTGGCAAAGAGGTAATTATAAGATCATTTACCTTGCACTGTACCCCATGGATATTGACGAGAACGCATCATTTTGTTTCCAACTCTGACAAAATCAGTGCTACCAACTACTGCAAAAGGTACATGAGCATTCATACTAGAATTTACTTCTGCTACACTTTCATCATCAGTGGGAAATTGATAAATATGAACTCCATTATTTTGCAACTCAGATATAATTTTGCTCTGAAATAAATAACATATATTAAATGTATCCACAGAAAACTGTATTTCCCATTATTTTCATGTACCTTGAATTTTTGTAGCTCTGTTTTTGATATTGTATCAGCCTTAGCGATAATTGGAATAATGTTAACTTTTGTATCAAGCTTCTTCATACACACCAGATCAATTGACTTCAATCTATAATTACATATTAAAGAAATGAGAAACAGCAAAGGAACATTATAAGAAATCTGTATAATATATTTACCCATGACCAGTTGGACAAATAAAGTATAGGCACACATGTATACGACTGTCATGATAAGTTGCCAGAGAACGCTTTATCTTCAGTTCTTCTTGCAAATAAGCTTCAAATTGTGCATCTATGTAATCAACAACAGCTTTAAAGCTATCTTCCTTATTAATCTGATCTCCATATCCAACTGTATCAACGATGGTAAGCTTGAGCCTAACATTGCTCTCTTGTAGTTCATAAGTATGGGCTTTTAGTTTCACAGAAGGAAGATTATGTGGGCTTTGAGTGGATTCAAAGCTCGTGTTAAATAGGGAATCCATGAGAGTGGATTTCCCCAATCCAGTTTCACCTATTATGAAAATAAACACGAATGTAAATCATTATCAAGTACATAGCATATGTTCTTCTGAGAAAAGATAGGTTGGTTTCAGTACCGATACACAGGATGTTGAACACAAATCCATTCTGAACAGATTTATTCACCAGTTGATCTGGAAGACTGTCGAATCCAACATGACCAGACAACTTCAAATTGCGTATGCTAGATTCTAACTGAAAATGTTGAAAAGCCATTAGTGTTAAGAATTTCAAGGCGGCCGGAAATTAACAGTACCATCCATAAAAGGAACGATAACGCGCTATCAAGAGTACTGGTGTTATGATAGAAAAAAGAACCAACGCCCTTTAGCTTGTAAACACTATACATACATCGACTAGTGTCAAAATTTATGTTTACAAACGAAGAGGAATCCTTCAGTGATCTATTGCAATAACATAAACAGCCATGCGTACCGTAACGCGGCAATAAAGTTTAAAAAATGACACCTACCTTGGCACGCTCAACCTCTACCGACGCCATTTTTGATCCTAGTGACGCGTGCGTTTACTCATACAGTAAACAGTTCTCTGTAATTCAGTCCACGTACACCCGAGTGCAATGTAGGCTTTTCATACTAAATGTCTCGAGTATATTTTTTAGTGCTAAAACGTAGTTGTTTCACTTTTATTTATTTATTAAAGTTCAATAAATGATTTGTATCGAATTCACCCTCTTTATACCCTTTGTAAGAGGTTTTTTATGATTTGTAAGTGGTATTAATGACCTAAAATGGAAAAAGTGGTCATTGTTGCCATTAAAGAATGACGTATTATGAAAATATTGGTCTGGATGAAGAGAGTATTCGAGTGTCTATAAATTTCCATTTTGACGTTAGTAGGTCAACGTCGTGTTCGTATTCAAACGATTTGAAAATTCGCGCGCCCCCCACTCTACCGTTCTACGCGGCGCAGGTAGGAACTTACGAGCTCAGTTAGTGTCGGGACTGCGAGCGCGTCGCTAGGGTGTTTCGCGTTGCCGTGCTGGCAGGCTCCTCATAACAGTGTCTACTTTCTAACATGGCAGATCAATTTGTGTTGTATTATCATGTGACGGGTAAAAGCTCTCGTTTATAAGACGATCTCTGTGTAAACTATCGTAGATTTTCCTTGCGAGGAAAACGTGTTGTCAGCTTAGAATACGGTCGCGATGGCGGACATGAAAAGTCCACCGTTCAGTGACATTAAACGGCCCGAGGAGGTGGTGGCGATGGCGATGAACGACAGCCTGAAATTCGCCGTGCTGATCGGGCTGATCGAAGTGGGACAGGTGTCGAATCGGGAAGTTGTCAACACCGTGCTTCATCTGGTGAGTAAACGTTAATTATTCATCGAATACAATCCATCCTGCCGGTCGTTCGATTCACGGTCATTCCCGCCGATTTCGCGACATCGGCCAAAATCTGACAACTTGAACTGTCAAAGTTCGTCGCGCGACACTCGCGTTGTCAAATATCTCGCTATTTACCGGAAATCAAACGTGATATGTCGCGAGTCAATCAAGATGGTAAACGTTTCGAAATAATGACGTTTCACTTTCGTACCATCGTATTCAACATTAACAGGAAAAGTTTGTACAAACGTCACGATACTTTTGCGGTTAGTCTGGTTCCTGTAACACGTTTTTCGAGGTAGAAAAACAGTTTTCGTTTCCAGACGTCAAACGAGTCCGTCGCGTTTTATCATTGAAATTTTAATGCTCGCCAATTTCACCGTCGCCGATTTCATTTACGGTGTTGTGATATAGGAAAATAATCCAGGCCTTGAACTTGGATGTGGTGAATCAGTTAAGGATTAAAAACTATCGTCTAGAGTTCTTCAGAACTATCGTTGCGCGCTTTATTCGTCGTATGAATTTTATTGCTTCGATTCTCTCGAGGTCATACCTTCGTATTCAACTTTTTACCGGGGCTCCGATCTGACATCATACGTCACTGTGTCATTCATGACTCGTCACTGGCGCGTTGTCAAACATCTGTTATTTATTCATAACATATGTGGTCTAAAAATTTTCAAATATTCCCAAGTACGAGAATTTGAAATTTCCGAGTTTAGAAAGTCGTAGGGAGCCATATAACGAGACTGTATTACAAAGAGCCATCATAACAGCGGTTTGGAGCTCCGCTTCGTGTGTCACGATACCTAGGGGAATTTTTATTCGCTGTTTAATACCTTTCGCTCCTGTTTACATGACTCCGTCTATTTTTATTCGTTATCGCCGCGACACTTTAATTCCATCCTCGTACGATACTCACGCGTGTCACCTCGAAACGTCCCGAGGCTTAAAAAAAGAGAAAAACGTGGAACACGCTCGTGTACATCGCGACCATTCAAGCGTACGCGTAACCGCTCCAACTTATACGGTCACATTTTTTATCGTGTTCGATCATGCATTTCGTATCGCCAGGACATCAGGAAGCTCTGTATATGAGTCGATATTACGTATTGTTTCGCATTGGGTATTATTGCGTTGCTGGGAAAAATTTCGTTTTCGACGCACGTAAAATCAACAACTTCATTGTTTGCTTATTTTTAATTCCGAAGTAATTTATGCATACTTGTTAATTTATTTATCCTTTGGACTTTCCTAATTACCTTTATTTTTGTATATATGTCGCTGTAGATAAAACACGCTTATCAGTGGAATATTGCTTCACGTTTCCACGTGTGACTTGGTAAAATTTCCTTCGATCTTTTACCTTGAAAGACCGTTAGAAATGAAATATGTAATGCAACGTATACTGAATGTAATACTAATAATAAAAAGAACGAAGTAAGATTAGTGAAATCGAATATTGAAAACTTCTGTTTCATTTTCCAGTCGTTCGAATCAAATGTTCTTTTACCACTTTATTTTCGGGAGATTTTATCACTCTCACTATTTATCGAGTATCGATTGATAATACGAGCTTCCTGACAAGGTATACTTTCAATGTATTTACTAGAAAATTATTGGAAACGTTGACCTCTTTGTTGAATACATAGTCGTATCCTTTTAACTAGCGATTCATAAATTCCGTGCTAACGCAACGACTTTCAGCTGGTCAAACGCTATAAGTTCAAACATAAACACGTTCGTTTGTTTACCTTTAAGAATCGTACTCTGTGAGATTTCAGAGCTCTCTTGAAAATCAAGCTACAGTGAGACGTATTTTATAATCTTGACCTACTTCACTGTTACTAATTTTCAGTTCGTTTTGGAGTATTGGAGCAATTAGGGATTTGCGGGTATTTCTTATTATGGCGGTCTTGGAGCAATTTGGGGATTTCAGGGTGTTTCTATTAGGGTTTTGTCTTGGAGTGATTAGGGATTTGAGGGTGATTTCTTATTGGGGTGGTTTTGGTGTAATTTAGGGATTTTAGGGTTTCGCTATTGGGGGGCTGGTAATTTGGAGTGATTAGGAATTGGGGGCATTTCTTATTGGGGTGGTTTTGGAGCAATTCAGGGAATTTAGAGTGTTCCTATTGGAGGGTTTGGTGTCTTGGAGTGATTAGGGATTTAGGAGTATTCTCACTAAGGTCTGGGAGTCAGAGATTATAGTCGCGGGGACCTATTGCGCTTTCGAGAAAATTAATGCGTGGGTGGCCACCTGGCGGCCATGGTGCCAAATTTGCGGCATCTACGCTTTAAGAGAGGAAATGCCCCACCACTGGAAAATTGGATATTCGCAAATGTAATAGTAGTTTGAGGATTTGGAAATTTGGGAAATGTAGAATCTCGAAATTTTAGAATTCGACAAATTTGGAAAAGTGACATTTGAAGATTGAAAAATTAGAAATTTCTCAGATTTAAAAATTAGAAAATTAGAAAATTAGAAGACTTGATCTTTGAGAGCTTGGAAAATTAGAAGACTTAGTACTTGAAAGCTTGGAAAATTAGAAGACTTAGTACTTGAAAGCATGGAAAATTAGAAGACTTAGTACTTGAAAACTTGGAAAATTAGAAGACTTAGTACTTGAAAGCTTGGAAAATTAGAAGACTTAATACTTGAAAGCTTAGAAAATTAGAAGACTTGATATCCAAAAGCTTGCAAATCCAAAAACTGAAAATCTCGAAAATTTCCAAACCCCAAAATTAGAAACCTTAAAACTTGAAAATTTACAATTCATAAAATTAGAAAACTAGCTACTATTGAAAGTAGGTAATAGATTGTAGCGTACTAGCCTTACATTGATAAAGAGTTAAGATTTCGGTTAACCGGTTAAAAATTGTTGGGACGTGGTCGTAGGTGGCCGGCTAGTTTTCGAACAGGAAGATAAATACGCAGCACGTGGCAGCGATTAATGTCCGGCCGTCACGCTGCACAGAGTTACGATGGCTTTCGTTTTGTTTTTTCCGATTCCGTTGGCCGTTACCTGGAGAATTAGTCGACGAATGGCTATTCGGAACTGTTTTCCATTGATCCTCCATCCGGTTCGTGGCCGATTAAGAGATGCACGGCTGCATTCGCAAACGTTTGCTTCATTCTCTTTGACTCTGAATTAATTAGCGTCGTTTGTAGACTCGGCATCGTCGCTTTGGATTACGTTAAACGTCAAGGAACAGCGACGTCGACGAATAAACACTGTCCACGTTCCTGAAGAAACAGAAAAGTTTCGGCGACGCGTTAATAAATTACGGCTAGTATCATTTTGATCGAGGATAATAGATTGCGTCATAAGTAGCAATGAAAGTGAGTAAGCGATTCTGTATGAACAGATGAATTGAAAGTGCAGAGTGAAGGGTTTCGTGGAAAATTCATTCTGACGATGTTGGATGAATTATGAACACCCTCCATTTTCCGGCTAAAACGTATTCTTTCACGGGAGATTTTCTGTTCAGTTTTCATTAGTAACCTCTCGAATTTCAATTTAAAAATGCATCTCTAATCTATTATACAGAGCTTCGCAAATTAATCGTGATATTACAAATATTTTACACTGGAGACGAATCTTTTTAATTTATTAACTCTTTCTAAATAATACATCGCAGTTCCAAATGCATAATAAATGAACAAATCTCCGTCTGCTTAAATTTTGCAACTTTCATGATGGCAGCACGAAAGTATTAACAGCTGCACGTGTATTATCGTGTAAGTGATTGGTACACGTAACAGTGATAGATAAGATAAGACAAATCGTACAGTTCAGTGTACCTGTCCGAAATTAATTATATCGAACCTCGACTCCAGTTCTTTCGATATTTTTATTCCAACTTTTTAACGAAGTTTCGACTCACTTTATACGTATAGCATATCTGATGTATAGCAACCAAGAAAGTTTCTTAAAACCTAGGGACTGTATACATACTCTTATCCTCGAAGATTTGAACGCGTTTTGAATCGCTCCCCCTCGAATATTCGTCGCAATGTCTCTGCACATTTCCACGCTCCTCTGTCAGCGAATTCACTTTTCTTCGGAATAACCTTGCTCTAAATACGCGGTACGCAACGCCGTTTGTCGGAGAAATTTGCCTAAGTAACTGATAAAGTAGAAGCGGTTTCGAGTTTTTCCGCGCGGGAGGATTACCCGTTTAGCTTTCAACGAAACGGTCACGCGGGCCTCGTGAACGTGGCGCAAAGAAATTGGCTAATTAGTTGAGTAACTCGTGGCTTTTTTTTTCTTTTCTGTCCTTTTTAACACGCTTGGTCTGATTATCGAGCACGTTCAACCAGCCCTGGCACGTTTTCAAAGCGTTTCCACAGGGAAACCCGTTTTTCGTTCGTTGGATCGTGGATATGGAGATTACGCTTCTGATCAAATTAGATTGCACGTTCGATATCTGTAAGATTATTCCGAAATATTGCACGATTGTTTTTCTTCTGAAGCGTGGTTCGATGTTCTCGGAATTTGGGAACTTTGCAATTTATATTTGAGAGAGCACGTTTGGAAATTTTGGAATTTGTGAAGTTCTCGAATTTGGGGAATTTTGGAATCTGTGAATTTGGGGAATTTTTAGAATTTGGAGGATTTTGGAATTTGGGGGATTTTGGAATTTGGAGGATTTTGGAATTTGAGGAATTTGAAATTTGGAGAATTTGGAATTTGGGGAATTTGGTATTTGGGAGATTTGGAATCTGGGGGATTTGGAATTTGGGGAATTTGGAATCTGGGGGAATTGGAATTTGGAGCATTTGGAATCTGGGGGATTTGGAATCTAGAGAATTTGGAATCTGGGGGATTTGGAATCTGGGGGATTTGGAATTTGGGGGATTTGGAATTTGGGG